CATTCGGACCCAGAATATGTTACAAAGACAACGAACACTGGTTTCTACAGAAACGCGAGGTCGCGCTATCGAAGATTCGTTCATTTGGAGTAATACACAAGGACGTGGCATGGCGCAACGTTCTATGGAACGAGGAAACTAGCAGCGCCATTATGATCGATTTCGAGGACGCTATTCTGACACTGACACTGCAGTCTCGGAGTCGACATCTGAATGCTCAGAAGCCACAAAGTGACAAATCTCTGCTGAGTCTGGATAGAGGTCCAAGCCGGCAGCCTCTGAATCAAGTATCTGGAAATCATTTCAATCGAAAGGGGAATCACAAGCCTGGGAATGGCTCCGACGACGAGCAGTTGCTAGTCCCATTAGTGGAACCTCTAACAGCACCCATAGATCACTGAATCTAATTTCTAGAGGAAAGGTCGCGCGCTTTTTGAAGGAGGAAAGCGCAACGAAGCCGGCTTATAGCCACGGCAAATGCAGAAGGAACAGAGCAGCGCTCAGATAATTTCTCCAAATTACAGCACGCTGTATCCTATCAGTGTCACAACAAGAGAGACAGTTGAATTGAATGAGAATCTTACTGAAGTGAGCTATGACTATTTGGCAGGGCTATTGCACGCCTCTGCAGATGGTTCTTCTTTATCAATGCAGAATGTGGCATAGATGTTGTCCCACCTGATTAGTCTGGCATCGCAATAACCAATCCTAGGTCGAATCAAGCCCCTGGAGGCCTGGCAAAGTAGGTGGTGATCTCTCTGATCTCGCGCTTCATCGCCTTTTACATTCACAACCGCGTGTGAGGTCTTCTATATTCACCCATCACCGCTGCACTAGCCCGTGTGGGCATGACCTCGATGACTTGACTGCCTCCACCTCCTCTTCTTCCTCCATTTCTTCTTTCTCTTCTCCCTTCAACCACGCTTCGCTGCAGAACTGGTAGGTCTCTTCCCTTCCCTAGCTATGTCTGACTCTTCTCTCAAGTTTCTCTGCTGATATAGAGGCTCCATTGCCATCAGCTGCATGAGAATTGACTGCTCTTGACATTGCTCTTCATATCGTCCTCGCGTGCGCTACCCCTCGTGGGTTAACAGACAACCCATCTCTCACTTGTCTCTGAACTGGTAGGTCCCCTCCCTTCCCTGGCCATCCTCTGTGCTTCCACATAATCTGGTTACTGATCAGGGGTGATTGTCGCTCCAGCCTTCTTCTCTCCTTCTCTCTCCACCCTACAGCAACCTCGTGGTAAGCGATCCTCTTCTCTCACTGTCCCCTCACACAGTGGCCCTGTGCAAGAACCCAGCAATCTTCCACCTAACCTATGACAGACCCTCTCCACTTATCCCCTTGGCAGGACCATGTCATTGCTGAATTTCTCAGGCTGGCAGGAACATGTCTACCCCCACTGGTTCCCGCGGTACTGTTGCTGCCGGCTCCTCCTCCTTCTTCGCGCGTCGCTGTGAGCAGCAGGCCACTATCGACCAGCAGCGCGAGCAGCAGCTTAACGCGACCGCTGCCGAGGATGCCGTCTGCGTCGGCTGATGCAGCAGCCACCCACCAGGAC